ATAATACATCTATTTTCTAGTGTCTTTTAAGACACAAACTAAAATTAATTTTCCTGTTTTATTTAGATGACCTCTTTACCTAAAAAGACCCTGCAGGCAGATAGAAGAATAGAAGTGAAAACCAGTCTCAGGCCAGATGGACTTGGATCAAGTGGGAATATCCTAACAAACCGTTAGAAACACCCGGGCAAGAATGAATATATTTTATGGGAGTCACAAGAAACTTCTTATAATCTTTTATTATATTATTTTATTTTAGAGTCGGTGACTTGAAAAACAATACCACTGATATTAAAATGATACTGTCTGATGGTACCAGTCACAATACTTGAACCTAATTGCATTTTCAGAAATATTTAATTTATGCTTATCAAGAAAAGTGAAGTCTCATACTGAATGAAGTCTATGAACTTGACAAACACACATTTAACAGCTGATGATCATAGTTTTTAGTACTGAGAATCATGTTTGTGTGGATTTCCTTACTCTCAGGTGACTGAGAACTAACAGGATATATATTAACCTTAAAACAAACTCTGGAAGTTTGTATTTCAAATCAGTCCTTGACATAGCTCTATTTTCTTGCATTTGCCCCTTTTTTATTATATACGATGAATAAAAAGGAAAAAATAATATAATAGTACTATATGGATTCTATTCCAGATTTAACTTCTGGACCCCTAAAACTGTTTTTGTTGTTGGGCTGTAATTTTAGGCTTTGGAAGTAAAATTGAAAGCAAGTATTTCTATTGTATTACTTTTAATAGCTCTTTTGTTCATTGCCTGGCATATGCATATGCCAGTCTACTCCCCAGAAAGGAAAATTTTACGTAACTCACTCAAGCTATCTGCTTATACCCCAAAGTTGACAGATGGGTTTTCTAAAACAAGAGGATAGGTAAATTTTGTCATTGTAATATTTATTTTTCACAGTCAGATTTGGGATTTTAAAAAATGGCTACTCTTTGTGAGTCTGAAAACTGTACTGCCTTTTTTACAAAAAATTTTTGGACATTAAGTAATTACTTAATACATTACAGTTAAACTTGCTTTCAAAAGTGGCATGCATGGAAGGTTCCAGAATGTCACCAAGAATTCAGGATAGCTCTTGCACTACAAATGTACTGGCAATAGGAGAATAAATATGCCTAGCCTGATGGGTGTTGAGGAAATACCTGATTACCCTAAAATGATGCCATACGAGGAAGTTGAGGGGTCCACTTACCAGGTGGTTTGATGATAAGGAATAAAAATGCTGTTCCAGTAGCTGGTTTGAAAGAAAACAGATGATATTACAAGTTAAGGTTACTCCTGTCCATGTGTGTCTATGAGAAGCCATCAGAGGGAAGCTGAAAATAGCAGGCCAGGCTTGTCTTAGAACATGGAGTGGCCTGCTTTGCACTTCACTGTGTGTCTGGAACACTTTTTACAGTGTTCTTGTTGCAATGGGAATGGTATGCACTCTCTAGCATTATGAACCTGACAGTTATCATGAACGTCAACTACCTCATACATCTCATACAGGAATTTACTAATGTTTTACAAGGTTCTTGAAGGTGGTTAGATCAAGTATGATTTCAAATGTCACCTAGCTCTGCTTTGGCAATCATAAGAATGCTTCTTGCATGAAAGCTCCCTTAAATAATAAAACAGCTTATGCCAAAGAGAAACAAAGTTCATTAGTTTTAAATTTTGAATTAAAATAGATTGAGCACATTACCTTCTTTTTCAAATCTAGGCAATAGAGTAACAAACATTCAGTTATGTGAGTAAGCAAGCAATTATTTATCTCCTGTTTAACATGTAAAATGATAAGGTACAATGATCTTAACGGACGCTCTTGTCTTTGAAAGGCCTCTAAAATATGTGACAGAACATTTGGTACCTTAACCAAAAAAACCAAACTCACTGCCGTCAAGTCGGATCCAACTCATAGTGACCCCTCCTTGGGTTTCCGAGGCGGAATTTCTTTGGAAGTAGATTGCCCAGTCTTCCTTCTGAGGAGTGGCTGGTGGGTTTGAACTACCATTAATACTTGCTTTACTCCTGGTCGATATAGGTTGTGATAAATAACCATTACATAATTTCATTAAAAAGCTATTTCTTTTGGTGAGCTATTCCAAGAATTGTACAGTTTCATTTTCTGGAAGAAGCCCTGGTGGTGCAGTAGTTAAGTGCTCAGCTGCTAACTGAAGGGTCAGCAGTTTGAACCCACCAGCCACTCCTCAAGAGAAAGATGAGGCAGTCTGCTTCCATAAAGATTTATAACCTTGGAAGCCCTGTGGATTAGTTCTACTCCTGTCCTCTAGGTTTGCTGTGAGTTGGAATCTACTTGATGGCAGTGGGTTTGTTGTTTTTTCATTTTCTGGAATTACAATTAATATTCAAAATATTAAACTTAAGCTTTATTTTCATTGCTTTAGCAGTATCTACAGAGGGCATCTGATGAATGGTGCATGGAATAGGGAATCCAGACACCTGAATTCTGTTCCCAACTCACTTCAGATGATACTTAGTCTCTCAGGGCTGTGATACAAATGTCATAAAACATTTTGATCTATTATATACAGTTAGTGGGAAGACAAAAAGTGTAAATATGTAAATGTCTTCTGATAACTTGAAATAAAGACAATTTTGAGTCAAACTATTGTATAAGTTGAATTTTGTGTTAATGAGAAGTCCTAACCCTGCAGGACATTCCATTTTAATTATTGTTAAGCATTTCAGAACCAGTGCTTAGAACTACAGTTAATATTTATGGAGTGAAAATAATCCACTTATTGGGATAATATTAATATACTAAACTATCACATTAATTTTTTCTATATGCCACGGTTTTCCATATTTACCATATAGTTGAACTTTAGTCGTAAGAGTACACATTAATACCACTTTTGACTGTGCAGTTGCTATGGTTAAATATCCTATAAAGTTGAAAATTTGCTTTCAGCTCTATAGGTGTTAATATTTTCTACCTGGTACTTGCTATCTAATGTATGTAGGCATTGAGAAAGAAATCCTCAGGTAATGAACCAAGTTTAAACATAGGTTCTGTCACTTGGTGAAGCATAATAGGAAATACGTAATATGAAAGTATCCATCCTTCTAACAGAAAGATACAGGATCTGAGAGAAGCACCTTTATTAAAATGCATTGTCAATGTCATCAGTTTGTTCTCCTCTCTGACTTCTCAACTCAAAAGAATACAGTTAATTTCTGGTCCTTGAAAAATAAACTCCCTTTTAATTAAAAATAAGTCTCCAAATAGGTTGAGCTGCCGCTTAGTCCCACACAAATGAAACCAAATGGTATTTTTATGTCTTTTTTGCTATGCACATAATGAACCATGCAGGGAGCACCCTCCTTCTAAGAAAAATGGGATAGTCCCATGAGAGGTCTGAGGTGCAGGCTAGGTATGTGCCTGTTTATGTTGTTTTCCCCTCCATATCCACTTTATGCTCACAGTTTAACCTTTGTAGCTCTTCCTTGATTTCTCACATCTGTCCTTCAGCTAGATTTTCCATGTCCCCTTCCACCAACCTTTGCATTTAGAGAAGCTGAGAAGAGAAAGGCTGTTTTTCTCCAGTCTTTAGTATCATTTCAGTAATATCAGAAGAAAGAAGTACTTCCCTGATAGATGAAAAATCAACCAGTTAACTGTATTTTTCTATTTCATTGTTCCTCATATCAGCAGATAATGCAAACTTTTGCTTTGTTAATGGACATAGTCATACTTGAAACATTAAACTTGAAACATTCCTTTTCCTTAAATGTGTGCCACATTGTAGGACTGTCAAATGAAATCCACCGACTAAAGTACCCCAGGAAAAAGTGAGACCAAGGCCTACTTCACTCCTACCCAGTCAGTAGCCTTCAGCTCAGGCCAGGTGGTTTTCCTTTCTCTAATCCCCTGCTGGCACAATTTGCGGCAACCTCATACAACAAACAACCTTCTTAATATGACTTAATAGCTAGTGGAAAGTCACGAGATTATAGGTTGATGTCTTGTTGAATAGCCATCTCAGCAAAAGCATTTGAAAGCAGAGAAAGGTGGTATAGTTTTAGTATTTATATTTATCCTTCACTGTATAAAACATTGAAAATCCTATAGCCCTCATTAAGAACAAAATCATTCACAAGTAATTTTGGAGCTGTAAGGTTATTGTCTTAGGCTGGGTTCTCTAAAGAAGCAAAATCAGTGAAGCTTAGAGAAATTTATCTCAAGGAAATGGCTCACACAGTTGAAGAGGCTGGCAAGTCCCAAGTCCATGGGTCGAACGTCAAGCTGGAGGCTTCTGACTCATGCAGGAGCTGACATACCAAGGATCACCAGCCAATATAGCAGGCCTCTGGCTTTGGAGAATGACAAATCCAAGATCAGCAGGTAGAGTTGCAGAGTGTTGGCTCACAGGCTGTGAAGGCAACAATTCCAAGACTGGCAGGCAATACAGCAGGCCACTGGTTCAAGTCCAGGAACCAGAGGTGATGATGAGCTAAGTGCAGGATCAAGATCCAGCAGAAAGAATTTTCCCAGAATGTACATATATAAATATGTATTGGAGGCAGGCCACACTCCTGAAGAAACTCCCTTTCAACTGATTGGCTACTCATAGGATATCACATCATGGAGGTGATTACATCACATCAGGGCTCATCATGGGGGATGACTACATCACAACTGCTTAAACCAATTAGAATCACGTCCCAGCCAGGTTGATGATGCACAATCTTAACTATCAGTTATCTTCCCTATACATTCTTACTGCACTGTTTCTCCTCCTTCCCCAATGTTATTTCTGTACACTGTGCTTTTTGTTACACTTTGGGATGGGCCACCAAGAAGACATTTTTAGGAAGACAGAATGGGTAACTGTGTGGAAGAGGTCTGAGCACAGACAATAATTAGGGAGAAGAAAGGTTTAGCTACAAAGGAAGCAAGTTTGCGAAGGAGACATGCGTCACCAGTGTCGGTTCTCTCACATACTAATGGCATCACACATTTTACTGTATCTGATTTCCAGACTGCCTGGCTGTAGTGTCTCCACTCCAGGAGCCCCACCTCTATTTGGATCAGATCTAGTGTCACTACACTGGTTGTGCCACTTAGTCCACAAGAACTCTCACCCTGGTGAGGACTCAGTGTAGAAAGGGAGGGAAGATTAGGAAAATAGAGTGAAATCTTTAATCTGAGCCAAGGTTATAGATGTGAAGTGCTCCAGAGAGTCGGGCTCCCAAAGAACTCCTTCCGGCAGCAATGACAACTTGGTTCTGTTGGAGGACACAATACAAATAACATTCATTATTCATTCATAACATCTGGTAAATCCTACTATTGTCTGTTGTTGTTGTTGTTGTTGTTATGTGCCGTCGAGTCGGCCCCGACTCATAGCGACCCCTCCTTGGGTTTCCGAGGCAGTATCACTACGGAAGTAGGATTGCCCAACCTTCCTTCCGAGGAGTGGCTGGTGGGTTTGAACCGCCAGCCTTCTGGTTAGCAGTCAAGTGCCTTAGGTACTATGCTATCAGAGCTCCCATACTATTGTCTAGGCATCATGATACGGGAGATGATAAGACATTGGATAGACACCATGGCTTGAATTTAAATGTGCTTTCTCTTTGATGAAGTAGTACTATTTCAGATCAGTGGGTTCAGAAAATGGGAGCTGAGGAATTTTACTCCAATCCCTTCTGGCACATAAGCAGTAAAGGAAATGTGCACTGCTACATGCTTATTCCAGAATTCTAGCTGTGGTGTGATGTCGACAGTGTTATCTGGAATAACAAGGACTTTCACAGCAGGTTGATTTTCTCGATGGCATTTACCACCACCTCCTACTGCCTCTGCTATTTGAAACATTTTAGCAACTGCCAGAATTGCCTTCAAAACAGGCTACAGGTTTTAAATATTTCAGCTGTAGCAAATCTTCAGACTTTGAAGTTGGATTTTATTTTTGAAAACTGCTAAACAGTATTCTGAACCAAAGCTGGCAATCAAACTGGCTGGTGGTGTTTTGTTCAGAAGCAGGATATGACCAGGAAGCAAAGACCCTTCTGAGGAAACAGTGTCTCATTGATTTAATTCTAAATCAGGGACTCGGGAAATAGTAACAATGGCTAACATTTATTGAGCCTTTACAACATATCAGACATTGTACTTTGCCTGTCGCTTATATCATCTCTTTAAGACAATGAAATCTAAACTTGATTTTTAAAATATGAATGAAATAGTAATATCTTCTATTCTCTTATTTTCAGAATTATTCATTTACTTAATTTGCCTGGAATCTGGCCATGCACTACTCTCTCCTACATTCCCTGGTCAAACCATGGTCAGTCCTAAAATTAAATGGCCCCTTGTTTTTTGTCCTCTCCCTGCCTCTGATCTCTCCAGATCCAGCCCAGCTCCTACAGGTTTCCCAGGCCTTCCATGACCACCAGTACAGACTCCCGCAGCAGTTGCCTGCTCTTGGTCATCATGTATTGACTGAATGGTCTATGGTAATGAGTAAGAATTGACTATAAGCACTTGGGTTTCCACCCTTCTGATGCCCAGCATAATAGCCACTCACTAGTTACTACTATGGTGAGGTCACCGGCTGGCTCTAAGCAGTCCCATGAGCGGTAGGTAGCAGCACCACTTAAGTAAGTGCCAAGTCCTAATTCTAGTTTGTTAGTAACAATTTCATTATTTAGTGCTCGTATGTGCCAGAATATGATCTTGAATATATCCCTCCTGAATTTAGAGATCATCTAAAGAATAGATTTGATGCATTGAACACCAATGACCGAAAGCCAGATGTATTATGGGAAGATATCAAGAACATTATCCATGAAGAAAGCAAGAGATCACTAAAAAGACAAGAAAAGAAGAGAAGACCAAAGTGGATGACAG